AAATTGTGTGAAAACCCCCATTAGTTGCCATCAGCTGTCAAAACAAAACTATTTATTTTTTAGTGAGTTTTAAACCATTGTTTCATTTGTTGTGATGTTTTAATTGTTAAATCATTAATTGATTTCATAACCAATCGATACGATAATTGTTGGACCAAATGGTGAGCTCTTGTTATCTGTTTTATATAAACATAAGATATGGCCTGAAATGTGTTATTCACTGATTAAATAAATATCTCATTTTAATTCAAAACAAATGATTAAAAGCTATTTATAATATTCATATGATTTGATTGTCAGGCAATGAATACATTATTTAATTTAAATAACATTTTTATATTTAAAGTAGACGTCTATTAGTGTATATGAATAACAATTAATAAACACTTATTTCATAAGCATTTGAATGTGAAGTGAGTGGTAATGTGTTTGACCTGTTGTCCATGTTGTGGATTACCATGTTTTATATATACTGTTAATTATATTTAATTAAAAGCGTTAAAACACTTGATTTAAACCTCTGTAATGAATGTTATGTTAAAAGATGTCAAATGAGATCTTAATGTGTTATCAAATGTTATAAATTAAACAAAAATGATTTGCTTATGGATTGGCAATGAATTCAATGAACCAATGGTTACAAACATTACAATTAATTTTTCCAATCATTTGTTGAAATCTCTTCCGCTTTCCATTCCCTCTCATCCTCTCAATGGGATTAAAGTCTATGTCTTATGATATCTCACAACACATTACTTACCATTTCATTACATCTCATACCAGTGCTAACCAATCATTTCACCAATTATTGAATAAATGAATCAATTTTGCACCGAAAACACTAAATATATTGTATAATTTGGTCATCATTTTGGTAATCATTTATCCTTTTCTTTAAACCATTTAATCATTAATTTTATTTATAATAATATTAATATGAATGCAATCATATTGTTATCCAATAAATGGATACATTTATTAAATAAAGAGTCATTATTAATTGAGTGGCTTTTAAAATGTTATAAATTGACTTCATTTATATAATTTGATAACCAATTATTGCTTAACTCATTAGGAAATTGTACTAATTGTAAGAGTATATCGATTATAAATTGTTTGATAAATTTGTTAATCTATAAATTATCGTCACATGTATTACACACTTGTATTACATTCTCGAGAAAACCATATTTTTTCGTTACAAATGCAATTAATTGCCATTAATTGTTGAATTCTTCACTAACAAGATTTCTATCAGTATATGAAAGCATTTTGTGATATTTGTTTACTTTGACAGTAATTAATATAATATTAAACCATATTTTTATAGTAAAAGTAAAGTAATACTCCTTTAATACCGATCTCTACTGTTATTTAAATAAACATAATCTTATGTTTTGACTAAAGTCAAGGTTTTCATGCTGTAGTCACCGGATTATCAATTGCTTCAT